GGTCGTTTAGGTGTGTTTTGAGATGGTGGGTGTTTCTTGTGTTGAACAAAAAGCGAGCCGATAAAACACATAGGATTGTGGTATCCCCCTCAAACCTTGGTGGCTTATGTTTTCTTTTTTGACTCACGATCGTAATGATTTCTATATGACTAATTTTTTCCATTTTATTCTTCTCTTTGTTGGATTGTGGTAGAGTTGCTATTGGCAACTAGCGTTTCTTGGTTTTCCATGATTTATTACGGTCATCAGTCTGAAAATGGATTGTCCTAGCAGACTGTCCGAAGTTCTTTCATTAAAATGGAGATGGATATAAGGTTTGTCAATCACACAGCAGAAAGTACTGCGTTGGTATATACTGGGAGTACAGCCGCCTCCTAGCGTGAACACCCAGGATAGAAAAAGTTGTCCCTATGAGCTTACCGAGATAAGGTGTGATGGTGATGTCTCTTACTGCACCTGAAAATGATTGGGTTATTATTGATGGTTTAGCTACCACCACTGTTCCTTCAGTGACGTGGTGACGCGGTTCGTCGGCGTGATATGAAGAGTGCAGACGTTGGAGACGGCAGAGCCGAGTAAGCCTCGTGGGTGGCGGAACATGGCGCACAAGTGGGTGTTGCTGCCCATCGATGCCTTGCAGAAGGGCGATGGGTGAAAATTGAAGACTCCTAATTTGTGTAGAATGCAAGTCTTCTCTGTCCCATTACAAGCATTTGTCGAGTCATTTTTACTTAACCTAAATATTTGCTGCTTCCCTTTTTACCAAGTTAAGCAATAGTTGTCGTAGATTCTTGCCGATTGAATGTTACTTAGATGTCTGGACTTAGATTGCCGACTGATTGACTGACTGGAAGACTAACCTGTGAATAGTTTGATGAGAAGTGATTTGTGTTGCCACGTATGCTAGGTGAATGAACACTTTGTCGTCGGTCATCCTGGAGCTGCTCGATAACGAGTCGATAAAGCACGCCAGGAATTAATTTGTGCAGCATAGTCTGACCTTTTCTCCAGTTCTGTTGCCTTGCCACTATGTCATTTCGTATGGTTTAACGCTGAAATGGGAACGCCATGTAATCGCACTGTCGACGTAGGTGGATTCGGTTCTAGTGCGGCTGCTTTTGAAGTCGATCGAAACTGTTGCCGTTGGAATGGATCTTCTGGAATGCACTTTTGATGTTAAGGCCTGTTTATCCAGTTGTTTCCTTAAAAGCCTTTTGGGAATTAACTATATTGCAGAATATGCCATGATAGATATGCCATTTTTGAAGGATCTCCATGAGTTTATCCGTTATTAATTCACCTTTCCAATCCGAGTGGATTTTTTGCCGCCTAACTGGTGTTTTATTTAGTGTGGAAGACATGTGTAGGATTGGCTCCATTTGCATGAAATATGATGTGACAGATACGATCCTTCCATTAAAAAATTTAGAACCAAATCCCTTAGTCTGATCATTCATCCGCATATTAATCCGTCTATCTATCCATCCCGTTTTCACCCATCCACCAGTTCATCCGTCTTTTTGTTGGCCTATTCTTTTATGTTAGACTTCATTCCTTAGAAGGCAAATAAATGTGGATGTAGGACCAAAATAGACGTAGAGTTGCTGGAAGATTAGATGCATGAGATTTGCAGGTATCTTTTGTACCTTACAGCATTCAACACCAAAAACAGCTGCGGTGGAGATGCAGACGTCTTTACCGACACTGAGCGTAGCACGTTACGGGCAACTGGCACCTGCTCAGGCAGCACCGTAGGCTACGTACATACTGGTGTCAGGCGAGCTAAAGATAGTCTATTGCAAGCGTGCTGATTCCACTGATGCCATCGGGTCCGCCTTGGCGGCTGAGGAGGTTTCGTACACGGAAATGGAGCAGATTCTTAATCGGGTGTCAGCCAGCGTCGCGGAGTGGGAAGCCAAGGTGACTGTCGCACGTACAGTCTGCCATCTTTTGTCTCTCTAGTTTTTCCCTTTTTTGCCCCCCTCTCTGTCTATTCATCATGCAAACTACTCAGCTATCCTGCAGCCATCCATTTCGTATCCATTCATTCCGTGTCCATCCAACCGTGTTTCCATTTGTGCTCTCTCTGTATTTGCTTCGTCTACTTATTATTTGCTTGTGCATTAATTACTGCTTCAATGATCAATCCAACAGTTCTTATTTAGCCTACTTGGCAACACATTGGTCATTCTGACTCGTCTAGTTGGTGGATTTTGTTTAAAATTTCCAAGCACTACACGTGGATTAGTCGCGTGTTTTGAGATAGCTCAAGTTAAGATTGCTTGTATGGTTGATTCATATGCGATTAAAGATTAAAACGTGTGCGTGCATGGCATCTTCATTGGTCAGGTATATAATTGAAGTTCAGAGGTGTTGATTTTTTTGAATCTGATGGGGTACGATGCGTCACGGATGACTTGTGAAAATGCTACATATCCGGTCAATTGCAATCCGGTTACCGAATTCTTTGGGGGTGCCAATGGGTTTGGTCCACTTGCAGATCTCGCTGGCTGAAGACACTGAACACGCATTCAGCTTGTCAGCAAAGCTGGAAGAGTCGGTAGGGCGTCTTCTGCGTCTTCTGAATGGGCTCATCAGTGAACGTGTTATGAGCAGAGGGTCGAAGTCATTGAAGAATTGGTTTCCTTAATGTACACAACATTTATGCTTCCTTTCTCCTGGTAGGCATACGATGATGGGGCAGCAGTCGACTCTCCCTGAAGTAACCGAATCGAAGGTTGCTCCTGGTAAAGTGGATTTTTTTCCTGTTGGATCCTGCTTCTTACGCTTTATCGGCATCAACTTCTATTAAAGCAGGGATGGTTCCGGTAGAGGCCAGAAAGTCACAGGAAAAGTGGTTTGATTTTCAATCTTTTCTTCATCTTTCTTTTATTGTGCTTCTGTCCTCGGTATAAGCCCCTTATCTCCCCTTGATCTCTGTAAATTTGAAAGCTCAATTAATCTGTGCTTAGCCTGATTAATAGTAGAGAGAAGTTCAACGCAAAGTCGGGTCTCCAAATCCGTCTTTCTTCCTTTCCACCTTTCTCACCCATTTTCATTCATTGATGATTTGTTGCCTACTTTGCAGGATTCGTGTCCTGTGCTCTTTGGATAAAACACTTATTGCTGGCTATCAGTGTTTACTCAATCGCGCTTAACCTTTGCTGAGTTTATTAAGGTCGCTTCCTTTCTATTTAAATTAGGAAGAATTGCTTGGGGCTCTAGTATTTTGTTCGTGGGATTGTGATAGTAAGTGTCCAAGGTGCTGCTGCCAAATCTATGCTCAAAGATCTTATTTCCGCTTTCCATTTGCTGTTTATTTTACAGCTATCGGAAGTAAACTGTGTGGAAAAATGGATGTGTGATCGCCTTGATCTCGAGGGGATAGTTGCACCTTTCTAGCTCTTAAACAGCAGTAAAATTGACTGACTGAGCAACGCCAATGTTGGTGCCATTGGTTGAAAACTGAAACACATTGTCTATGATGGATTTACTTTTAGGCTCTTCTCTTCTTCCGCACTAGCTGAAAACCGGTGTCAGCAACTTCCGGCCCATCAAGGGGAGTTGGTGGTGGAGGTAGGGGCCGAGGATGTCCATGTAGTCATCCCCGAGGTCGACACTGAGTTGGCTTGTATAACCGCTGAGGAGTCATAGATGATACTGATACTCTTAGGTGTCGAGTCATGCATGACGAGAGGCTCACAACCGAATCTACCACCAACATTACCGTGACCGACGACGGGATTGGTAGGATAGACGAGACCATGCCAGAGAAGGCTCGCAAGTACCCTGAGCTTAAATCTATCGCCTTTGGTCTAAGGGCGAGGTTTGCGAAGAGGGCAGAACTGCAGGCATCCTCAATGAAGGAAGCGAGGGGGTTGAAGAGTATTGTGATGAAGAATGAGAGGCGTGTGAGAAGGTTCGCGGAGGAGTTGGAACGGATATGACAAGAGAATATGGGATAGAATGTAATGAAGAAGAAGGCGGAGTCGTTTGCTTTTTCCTGTCATGTAAATGTTGCTTCTGCTGCTGGTGAAGATGCAGGACCGTCACAAGTGTTCCTAGCTGTCTAGCTGGGATTGTGCCTGTATGCCTTTTCGTCTGAACATTCCTGATCTATCCACCCATGCACCCATTTATTCAGTTTCATTACTCATCTTCCCTGAGCCTATATGTTTTTATTCATCCTTCAATACCTAGACTACCTAATCTCACCTATTCCTCTATTCATCTCCAGTGCCTTCATTCATACGGGTTGCAAAATAAGGAGAACATCTGACATTTCCTTATCATACACTAACCCACTGATTCCCATTTTATAAGTACTTACTACGACTGGAAGGAAATATGAAACAAATTGTCAAACTTACATGTGAACACCTAAGCCTATCGTATCCAAACGAGTGGGTATGTTACGACAAGCAGATCCCATCCAGAGGTTTTGAAGAATAGAATCTAATGCAACTTTTCAGACCCACTCCAACTTCCAAGCAAAGATACATATCGCATAATGCTGTCATTTTGCGGACAAACCACCCCCTTTTATTATTTAACTAGGTTTTGATAAATGCAAACTGGATCAATTACTGATCCACACAAGTCTGTAAATCTCCAGGGCCTTATATCTTACCACATCGCGCTTTGAATTTCTGCATTTCCCTAGCAATATTCACTGATGTCTGCAAATATTTTCTCAACTTTACATGGGATCAAACATTCAGAGGTTAAATCTTTGTCTCATAGATTACCTTAACAAAGACAATAAATGTCGAGAGCAAATTCTTGTTAAAGAGAAAGATAAAAGGACATTGCTCTCTGAGCTTTCCAGTCGAGCTCGAATCGGCCGACAAGGGCTGCCACGACCGTTGAAACACAGAATAAAATAAAGGCCGCTCGTGTACACACCGTGGCTGGTGTGCATGCTTTCAACTTGGCATCGCTTTCGTGAAGACTTCTCTCTTCTTCTAAAGTCAAACGCAGCTATGTCATACAACATTTTTATCAATTAACGCCAAGATGGTGTACATTGTTTATTTTTGTATTGAATTCTAGCTGTCCGTTCTTCAATATTATTCCTAGGAAAAGTGTTACCTTAATGGAAACTGGTGGTTTGACGTGTGCCATACAACGTTCAACCACTTTATTAGAGAATGTGCATTATTGTCTGACACAATGTACTCGATCATATGCATGAGTAACTTTAATATCAAACCTTTTATTACAATATCGGGCTACTCTGGTGGACGATTGATAAACTTGATTTCTGTCCTCCTCGTGGCCCGAAAATGAAATATCGGCAGAAATTGCTTTGCACCAATAGGGCACCATGTAATGTTTGATTGTATTTCCGTTCCAAAGTTTAGTGTACGTATCAGATTGCGTAAATATCATAGTTATTGCTAATTTCGATATTACTAACTTTAAAGTGAAGCATTTTACTTACCTTCCTACACATTTCGTTCCAGTCGATTCGCTTGATTATGACGATGTAAATAACTGATTCCAATCCTGTTCCTAAGCACAGTCCCAACCAGAAACCTATAAAGCAGAAATGGCCATTGTGCTTGACATCGTCAGGCGCTAGATAGGTGCATACACATAAACTTAATCAATCAAATCCAAATCATCGTCTCCAAATATATATTTCCAACAGTCCCTGGGAGTCGATGATGTACCAAAAGCCTTGGCAGTCGCCGCACT